CAGAATAAGGCCCATTACAGAGAAAAAACATAAACATAACATAGAATGACAGCCTATGGGCCATTCGGCCCATCTCCTCTACACATAAGTTGTCAGCTACTGAAGGTGAACTGTTGCCTGATAAGGGAGTGTTCTAGAGACTGGTCGGGAAGTTATTATTATACCTTTGCATGACTTAGCCAGATACTTCCTATGCAGTTAATGTAATCAGCCAGTTTATGCATTTTCCCAGAGACACACATTTAGCAGTTGCTAAGAGAGTTCTATGCTATCTAAAAGGGACTCCAGGGAAAGGTATCTTGTTTGCTAAGCATTGACACATGAAGCCGGAAGCATACACTGATGCTGACTGGGCCGGATGTATTGATAATAAGAGGTCCACTTCATGTTACTGTTCTATGGTAGTAGGGAACATGTATCATGGAGGAGTAAGAAACAGTCTGTAGTGGCAAGATCCTCAGTTGAAACGGAGCACAGAACAATGGCACATGGAGTTTCTGAACTTTTGTGGTTGAGATCACTTTTAGATGAATTGGGTATAGACTGTGAGAAGCCAATGATATTATATTGTGACAACTAGGCTGCTATCAACGTTGCACATAATCCTGTTCAACATGACAGAACTAAGCACAATGAAGTTGACAAGCATTTTATAAGAAAGAGAGTTGCCTCAAGAGAAGTCTGTCTACCATTTGTTGCTTCTGAAGAACAGTTGGCTGATGTTTTGACAAAAGGTGTTCCTAAAGGAAAGCTGGTTCACTATATAAGCAAGCTGGGCATGATGGATATCTATGCCTAGCTTGAGGGGGAATGTAGAGAGACTGGGCCAAATGGGCCCTAGCCCATTAGTGTCTTTCTTATTAGTTCTTTCTTGTTATGTTTTCCTATTGGGCCTTTTCTTTATGGGCCTTTAGCTCTTGTTTATGTTTTCTAAGTATAGTGCTGATGTGGACACCTACTTAAGGGCAATCTTGTAAATTATGTAACTTAAGTAAGTTTATTAAAAGGTTAGTGGGGGAAAGAGGAGATTATCGAACCCCTCCTTTCTTTCTCCTTTCTTCTCCAATCTTCCTTCTTCTTCTTGTTGTCTCCTTCTTCTTCCTTACTTTCTTTTGCTTTAATCTAAAATATTCTGCTAATTTTATTGGTTTGAATCACATCTGCAATTAAGAGAAGCAGATAGCTCATAAAGTTCATAAAGGAAGTGGGCAAGCCTCCAAGGACCAGTCCCTTTGTTCTTGGACCATCCAGTAAGGAGGGCTTAGACCTCAGAATCAGCATCTGAAGCTGAAATAGGGCCACTGAAAGGCCACTGCTGACTCCCATCAGAATTCAGAATAACTCCTTCAACCCCAGCCTTCAGGAAAGGATCAACCGAGCCTCTAAAGCGACCACCAAACTGGAGAATAAAGTTGCTTTCTGGTCTAGGGGAGAGGTAACTAGGATGGGGGCACAAAGGAGAAGAATGAAGGAGGTTGGCACTTGTGTCCTAGTTGCATTGCTCCAGGTAGCTAATATGATGTTAGATGTCTTGTATTCCTAACCCTAGGAGGTTGGCACCTTTACAGAAGCAGAGGCCATTAGCTGCCCCCAACTTGAATTTTTGGCCTGTATTTACAAGGGGGTCTATTTCGTAATTTTGGTTAAAATTTGACCTGTTTTAGGTTTATCTAGAAGTTAATATACCATAATAAAGTTGTAAAAAACATAAGACTAGAATATAAAAATGCAACAAAAAAAGGAAACATACAAAAGGCATGCGCCTGGATTGCCAGATTGCCTTGCACCTCAGTCCAGGTGTACACCTTTTGAAGGTGGTAATGGTACCTGGGTTCAAGCAAGGTGCATGCCTTAAAATGCACCTCACCTATGTTCCTAGGCATGCCTTAAACTTTTTAAAATACTAGGTCGAAGTTGTTGCTTATTGAGATTAAAGTCCTTGCTTAAGATCCTTGAGTTTTACCTTGATAATAAAGCAACCATCAATATTGCACACAATTTAGTTAAGCATGATAGAACCAAGAAAATTAAGGTGGATCAACACTTCACCCATGCAAAAAGAAAATGGACATTGAGCATATAAGGCATTCATGCACGAACTTGATGAGAGGAGGGCTGAGGACATGTAATTTTATAAAGAAGTGAAAGTTTCAAAAATCTATTTTCTAAAGAAGAATGATGTCATTTCTATATTTTAATAACATAGGGAAACTATCATATAATTCTAATATTTCTATGTCCAACTAAACATTCAAAAATAAAAATCTCCTTCTAGTTAACATCTATGAGAGATTGATGCAACTAAGTGGTTGAGACATTTCAAGTATTTTCAGAACTCACAAGCTCATAAGAATTAATTGCAGCATAGCCTCCTCACCTTCATAGTATGTTCAGAACTCATCCGGAAGTATCTGGATGCACGTTTTTCAAGCTCAATGGTATTCAAAGGATGTGGAGGATACTTCAATTTCTCCTGATTTTTTACTTTTGTGACCTGAAACACCAACTAACCATTAAAACATTAAAAATTTCCTCAAAGTTTTACTAGGAGACAGTCATCAAAATTTAGCATTGCCAAGTATATGATCTGAGATTTACAGTTGCAGTGGGTTCCAGAGTGCACATCTCATATATAATAACAGCATAGGTGTAATCAAAAATATGTCCCCGCCTACAAAACAAACAAGTTCCTTGACATAACAGCTACAACAGACAATTAAACTGAAAAAAAAAAGAAAGAAAGAAAGAAATCTCATTCCAAGTCCCCAAATTACATCCAATTGAAAGTAGCAATGCCTTCATCTAAGGTGTGTGAACAGTTTATTGTCCAGAACTCTTCAGGTTCATGTGCTTGTATCTCCCAATATCTTTCAACAACAAAACCTAGTGTTGGAAACTGCAGAGTCAATGATCAACCGATCAGTACATCAGTTGTAAATTGAACAAGTATACATCAGAGACACTGGAATATGACAAGGAAAGTATGTCAGGCAATTGAGCTTGGCTTTTCTAATGTGACAAACCTGACATGGGCCATAACTTAGAACAAGGTTCCTATCATCTGTAGCAAAATCTATAACAAATGCATCTTTCAACAACATGGTCTGAAACCTAGTGAAAGAAGCACCAATTCTGAGATCAATTTCCTGCAGGAAATTCATTATCAGTTTAATATCTTATAAACATAATTATTGATAAAAAAAATCTTATGCAGAAAAAGAGAATCTATGCATAAAGAGTCCTTCCTTTTACTAGAATGTACAGAATGGTAGAATATTCTAAATATATTTTTATTAGACCACAACGTTGGTGGTGCAAGCCTAGAGAAAAGGACAAAGTACCTGCCTAGCATCCACTGCATCTGCAAAGAGCTGATTGGGCCGAACAAGATTTTGAACTGATTCATGAATCTCCCTGACATTTTTTAGTAGAAACAAAGAAAGGTCAATTTAAAATTCATGAGGAATTAAAACAACATACTAGGAAAAAACAAAAAAAGGGGGTGGAAGGAATCATGAAGTTTGATCAATGGTGATCATAAAAGACATGAAAAAAACAACAATTTAGAATTTAATACCTATCAATCAAAGCAGAAAAACGAGCCCTCCATATGTTAAGATGATTATTTGCAGCAGAGCAAATCTCTACCACTTCAAATGCAATATTCTCCCCTTCTCTGTCACAGTCAAGCCACAAGACAAGCCACTGGCACTTCCTAGCTTCCTCTTCCAATGTTCTCTTGATATCCAACTTGTCCTATATTTTCCAGGAATCCACAGATAAATAGTTTACAACCGAATAAATTATATAAGAGAAGAAAAAAATGCTGTATTGAAATTGGACAGTAAACTAATCATCACATTCCATAAAATCTCTTTGTGGCTTGAGACATACATAACCAAATGAAACAGAAAAGGATAAACAAGAAATAAATATCCTGCTTGAGTCAACCTACCATGGTGCTATAACCAACAAGAAAACACTGAAGCCCTAACAATCAATATCAACACTTCTTTTTTGATAAGCTGACTATATTTTTCGTTACTGTTCATTTTATTGAATTATGGAAAGCAATGTGTATGCTGTGCAAAGAACCCCATTGAGACCTGGTAGCCCCAGCTACAATCCCATATACACCCTTTATAAGTGCAAATTAGTTTCCTGAGTCTCTAACTCTCTATTAGTCACCTGTGAATATCAACACAATCAATAACAATATTACATCTATGTGAAGTTTCTATGTAGTCAAGTCACTCATCTAAGACTAGAAGTCCTGCATAGGATATCTCCGTTTTGCCTAAGAAATCTCACTTGGATTTCTGTATTCAATTTGCAAATACATAACTTCTACAACGTAACCCAATCAACCAAACACCCATATTTATCATTTTCAGAACTTCCCCCAAATTCACATAATGTTTACATGTTCTTTTTCTTTTTCTTCTCTTTCTAATAAGTAATAACTAATAACTCATATTAGCTATAAGGAAAAAGCAGAACAGAACAGGTGCACAGGTGCACTCCTATCGTCCCATTCACCGAGTGCTAAATCGATAATTTCCCCCGTATTTAAGTATAATAATGTTGCCAGCACCTAAGTAACAAAAGAACATTCTCTTTCCAATTTTTTCTACCAACTGTTCGAAGAAATGTCTCTGCCCAAAGCTGGGCTATTACCATTTCGATGTGGGAAATCTCCAATTGCTTAAACTAACAGCAGAAATGTTCCCCAGTCGCATTGTTATTCAAATAATAAGAACTCAATCTGGCAGTTTCAATTTAGTATCATGATGCATTGCGTTGGGGACACTAACCTGAGGAACGAACTTTCGAACGGGGGCGTGGTAGAGATCAGCGGGATCACAGGAATGCCATTTGCGGTAACGCTCTTCGAATTCCAGTTCCATGAGGTGTCCGGTGACGGAGGTGAAAAGCATGTGGCAGTGCTGTCCGCGGATTGAGTAGTCAAATTCAAATATCCTGTTAAAGCGTGACCGACCATTTCGAACTCGGAGACCTTGGTTCCTCGATAGGATCCCCGCCACGGCTTTAGCCACCGAAGGCTTCTCGGCCACGTTCAAGACTCTCACCGTTCGACCAGCGGCCATCCTAGACGAAAGGTCGGACAGTGGCTTTGATTCTCTTCATCAGATGCATAGTTTCACCGCTCTTCGTCGCTTGAAAGTTGAAAAGCAGAAGCGATTAGCAGGGGAGCGGTTCTCACTTTTTTCCCGCCATTTTTCGATCGGGGAATTAATCATAACTCCCGGTTCTCTGTTCCTGGTTCCCGGTTCGTTCGATCCAACCAGCTTTTGTTGCAGAGACAAGTAATTAAAAAACAATTGCTTGATACCAACCGCCGCACATGGGTAACATCTACCATACTTACCATACTTGTATTTATTATTAATGGGAGATTGAGAGATGTTTCTAATACACGGTGAGATGCGGCTGTTTGTTTTGTAAATGGTTTGGATCTCAATTATTAAAAAGTAATTGCTTGAGGAGTAGATCTCAATTCACATGGGCCTGTTTGTTTTGTAAATGGTTGAGATCTTCTCTTCACACTAATCTCATAGCATGTATCAGCCATACATCAAAAACATCTCTCATGAGATGAGATCACATCGGCACCCCATATGTACATCTCAGCATGCATTGAGAATATCTCTATCAGTAGGAAATGCTTCCAATACATAATTGGGATATGTTGTGAGGTGCCCTCTGTGGAGCATAGATGTGAATTCCCGTGAGATGAGGGGACAGATCCCTTTCCAACGAGGTGAGGTAGGTAAATAGGGGGTGCTACTGAATTAAAAGAAAAGAAATATGCATTCATGTTTTGGTATTAGCATAGAAAAGAACAAAAGATATTTAAATAATCACTGTTTATATAAAAAATTGTTAATACATGATTGGATAATATTATCACTTCGAAAATGATATTTTTATGGATAAAATGATTAGTAAATACACTTATCATAATATAATATTTTCCTAGAAACATTTGCTCATATATAAATGCATTTACCGAGATAAATGACTAGAGGATGATTTGAGTATTTTGAGTAAGTGTGCAGTTTTGCCCTAGGAATGTTGCAAAAAAGCATTGGAAAACCAGAATGTCGATCCCTCTTCGGTTATCTTGCTTGTCCACACACAAATTGATCAATTACCCTCTTGAAAGTAAAAGTGGCTTTTCAATCAGCTGGGTTCCTCCTCCCGCCCAATCCTTGAAAGTTAATGTGGATGGAGCTTTGAACGTGGAACGTTCTAGTATTGGTATTGTGATGATCAGAAATCATCCTGGAGAATTCCTTTTTGGACGGACCATTAGCTTTAAAAGATCTAACCCAGAAGTAACTGAAGCAAGAGCCTTCAGAGAAAGTTTTCTAGTGGCAAGGGATCTAAAGATAGATTCATTTTATATTGAAGGAGACGCACAGAAGGTTGTTCTCACCGGGCTGAACTCTCATTTTGAGGTTCCTTGCTCAATTTACTCAACTATAGTCGATTCCAGGTCAATAGACCAGTTACCTGGTTTAGTCTACCAGATTTCTTACTGCATGCATTCAATGCAGATTTACCACATAATTGACGCCCACAAGCCCCTTTTTAAAAGAAAAGAAAAAAAAAAAGCACTATCTGTTTCTGCCAAACATTAGTCTTTTCTCTGAAGTCTGGAGTCAAAATTGGCATTTCTGTAAAGTTCAGGCATTGTCATAGCTAAAAATCCTTTAAAATAATGTCGTCTGCAAATAATATGCATCATGCAATTTCTTCCTGAATATATTTAGTCAAATTAATCCTTGGTAAAAACCCATCATAACAGCAAAATATGAAGTCTCTCTCATTCGTGTTCTAACATTGGTTATTGCTCCCTCGTGCATATCTTTAATTAGGTCTAAATACTAATTTTGAAAATATTTCTTTTTCAATACCTACCATATTATCTCTCAAGGAACTCTCTCATAAGCCTTTTCTAGATCAATGAACACTACATGAAGATCTTTCTTATTCTCTTTGAAATTTTCTATTAATCATCTAAAAATATATATAACTTCCATGGTTGATCTCATTGGGCATAAAATTTTCACAGTTTATTATTCTTTTGGGAAATTTTATTTTTTTTAGTTTTTGTATATAAATAATAACTCTATACCTCCCGATATATTTTCATTTTTAACATATAGTTGTTACTTAGTATTTTAAAGTAGCATTTAACTACAAATCTATCTACAAAATTAAAAAAAAAAAATCTAAAATATTAAAAAAGAAAATGTGTCTTTTCTAGGAATTCCTCTTCTTTTCCCATTTGTTTTTCTTCCATTTGGATTTTTCTTGCAAGTGGGGATGATTCCCAATGAACAAAAGCTTTAAGGATGGTCACATGTGCATATAGAAAGCCTAAAATGGGTCAAAATACTCAAAACTGGGATTGCATGCATATTTATTATATATATTAAATGAAGGTGTTCAGGCAACCACCCCCATCCTTCATATATGTGGCATTATAAAATTTCAATAGATAGAATATTAGAAGAGGTTAAACTCTCACTCTTAAAAAACGTAGCATCCTAATCCCTAAAAAGTGGTCACTTCAAATGTTATGGTAGTAACTAAATTTTATTCAAAGATAACTATTTCAAAAGTAACAATTGAACAAATAATTTAACTTAAAAATATTCAAAATATTAAATGAATAAAATAAAAATAAATAAAATTCATAAAAATGACTAAACAATTAATACAAATGGTGTGAGTTTCATTATTTTAGATGAAATAGTTTATTAATTGCAAACTAGATTTAACTTTTTTGGAAGCATAACCTAATTTAGCTTAAGTGGGTTACTGCTTACAAATAAGACCTCATTTAATCTCTTAAGTCATATTAAAAATAGCATAAATTAATAGTGGTTTTCAAACAAAATAAGTCATAATAGTTTGTCAATTACAAACATGTAAGACCCATGTTAATTCTTCTAATATAATTTTTATAGTTAAATAGTAAATTTCAAATTAAATGATATTGTAGTTGTCCCTTAGTATAGGGTCATTCTCTAGATAAAACATGGTAAATCTCTCAAATCAAATAAAAAACTTAACCTAAATGTATAATATAAATAATTTAAAAATTCAAATAATTCAAATTAATGGTCTGTATTTAGTACAGGGGTCATTCCTAGTTGAGTCATCAAAGAAGGAAACAATATGCATTTGTATCACTGTGTGTTGGAGTGTATCCACCAATACAATATGATATAGCCTAATACCAAGGCATATTGTACCAGTATGCACAACTTAGAGGATACATTCTTAGTGGTATTATATCCCATACACATGTTCATTGATACTAATATGATATGCCTTATATCAACGCATATTCTATCAATATTTTTTAGTCCTTGCATGTAACAAGCACAATGATAAATTAAGGCTTCAAATGGATCAAATAATCGAATCCAATAGGATATACATAGATTGTCTTGTTTTTGTTTAAATTGTTCCTTTTAAGCTTAATGAGTTTGGGTTTTGTCAAAACTGCCATACAATGGCCATGTCAATCCACTCTCCAAAGATCCCTGGATAGCCAGAATTAGCATTCTATAATTGTTGGGGAAGATACATTACGGTAGTAGAAATGAATGTGAAAAATAATTCTAGGGTAGCAAGAAACTTTCCCCTAAATTTATGTGTCAAAATGGGTTTGTCAACAATAATGATAACAAATAAATAATTCAGCCAAGTAAAAGAAAAATGCAAATAGCAGCCACCACACAAAAGAACATACAGATTTTTTTACATAGAAAATCCCAAAATTGGGGAAAAACCACGGGACTTATGGTCCGTAAAAGCCTTCCACTGATTTAGAAATTAATGGGTACATCAGTCTTTTATAGTTACAATTAAAGACTTACAAACATCAAGGAAATAATCCTTGATTCACAAGTACAGCATTAGCATCACCCAATGTAAGGTGGATAAAACAGAAACAGAGATTTAAGTTTCACCAAGTTGCTGTAAATATGAATTGAGAAGTAAAAGGAAGAATCAACAAATCTAAACTGAAGTGGGATTCTTAATTCCAACACTTAATCTCATCAAGAACGGATTTGAAAATACATCCAAACTTGGCCTTCAATGGAATAAGAACCAATTATTTCTTCTCTTATTCACAAAACACAAAATCCAGAAAATCCTCGGTTCTTCTCTTTCTGTTTTCTTCTTCACATCTTGCTACAGTGATTACGAATGAGAGCATACCAAATAAAAAAAAGGTGAGAACCCTACTAGCTTCCACAGTACAGCTCCTTTTGGTAGCATGAAAATGTGGGGTGGGCCCCTCATATGGGTTGGACCCACACCCAACAGTATTGTACTTTTATTTTTGAGTAGAAATGGGTGCATCTATCACGACTTCTAGCTTTTGGATTACCTTTTTTAATAATGTTGTTTTTAGAGTTCTATCAGGGGCAGCATTACCAAGTATATACTGTCCTCTTTTTCACTTTTTCCTCTATTTTCATTGTCATCTCAGCATTACCCAACTAAAGTTAAACTTAGTTGTTAAGCCGCATTTTTCAAAGTACCTATAGAAATGTTGCCTCTGATAGAACTAAACTTAGTTGTTAAATTCCAAACACAAATAAATATTTATTTGAATCCAAACTTGGCCTTAAGCCGCTTTTTGCCAACAACAAATTCAAACTACTTGCAGTTTAACCACAATAGCACCATTCACTCACATGACCTAGCAACCGTTTCTTGGGTAACAAGTATGAGCAATTTGCTACCCACAAAGGGGTATTTGGTCCAATGGAATTGAATTTTGAGTTGATCAATACAATTTTATGAAAAATTTTGATTACATCGTACATCATATGAGTGTCATTTCAATTAAAAAAAATGCATATATGCAATTGATCGTTGCCATCTATGGTTAAAAGATTAAATTTGACATAGAAATAACGATTTTCATTGATCAACTCAAAATGTTTTCAAAACATTCCACAATGTAATCACAACTATACCAAACACCCCCAAAGATGCTACCCATTCCCGCATGTACCTATAACATACTACATCCATGCATCAGGAACATCTTCTCAAGAATGAAAACTTATATATTCTCAATATGCATTGGGGTTCGACTATGATATAGAAAAGATATGATATCAGAAAAACAACTAGCCAATAAACTGAAATCATAAATATGATAGCGAATCAGGTGTTATTTATCAAAATTCATGGGTGGGTTTTGATTGGTCA